GGCTAGATCACAAACAATAGATACCAGATATTTTATGTATATCTCCCAATATATAAACAAATGAATTCAGGTTTCTGAATCAGTTTCTTATAAAAATCTGTTTCAAATATATCAATCTCCTCGAGCAGCAGTTCTCAAACTTTTTGGTCTCAGGACCCTCTTTACACTCTTAAAAATCACTGAGGCCCCTTCCCCAAAGTGCTTTTGTTTATGTGAGTCATATCTACCAATTTTTGCCATATTTGAAATTAAGATGTCTTAGTATTATTATCAATATAGTTTTGATCTTGCAGCTGCCCTAAAAGGGCAAGAAGCCCCAGATACCAATTTCAGAATTACTGCCCTAAATATGATTAATGCAGAAATTTGTTTTGAATATCTAAACATATTTGTAATGGGTTATGCTTTTCTTGGACACCTGGGTGGCACAATGGATAGAGCACTTGGCTTGGAATCAGGAAGACTCACCCTCATGAATTCAAATGTGGCCTCAGACACTTAGTACTAACTATGTGACTGTGGACAAGTCACTTGACCCTGTTTGCCTCATCTGTAAAGTGAGCTGGAGAAGGAAATGGCAAATCAATCTAGTATCTTTGCCAAGAAAATCCAAAATAGGGTACAAAGAGTCAGACACAACTGAACAACAAAAATACATTTCATATCTTCTCGCTGAGTAGGAGAGGGAAGGGGGAAATCAGAAAGAATTTGGAACTTAAAAATAAAATTGAATTTTAAGTGAAAAAAAAAGCAACAAACAGAATTTCCACCCTAGAGCTTAATCACTGCTGACTAAGTTGTTAAAATCAAGCTCCTCAACTTGCAAAGCCAAAACTCAGTGTCTAAGCCTTGCTAACCCTACCAAGGTATAGCCTTCTTATAAGGATCAATCTGAAATAACTTAACAGATGTGTCCATTTGTATTACTACATCCATTTACAAGACAATGGGCACAATGTAAAAATGAGTAAGTGACCAGGTGAAAAAATACCATGAATGTTCTTTGCCATTGACTCATTCTATTTGGAATTTTTGACCATGAAAAAAAAGCATATGGTTCTCTGTGTTATGACTGACACAATATAAAGGCATTACTATGACCTAGAGATAGTAATAAAATCTAGCTCAGTCAACAATCCTTGACTAAAGATCATTGTTCCTATTTCAGTCATCTTAGAAGTGATCCCTCCTTCTTCGAATCTTTGACACCCACCTTTGTACTTGCTAGGATTAGAGCTTTAGAGCTGAAAGATGCTTTACAAAAATCTAGGTCCACTTAATTATAAAGATGAGAAAACCGAGGCATAGGAAAGTTGTGAATTGCCCAAGGTTCCAAAATTGCCAAGTAGTAGATTAGTATTCAAGCCTGGGTCCTGGGACTCCAAAGGTAGGGTTCTTTCCATTTCACCATCCTGCCTCCTCCTATTTTAACCAATTTTATGGTTATTTGCATACATGCCTCCTTGACCCCTATTAGATCAATCTCCTTGAAGGCAGGGCCTATATTGTTTATCTCCTTGTTCTCTTCAGAACCTGCCACAGTGACTTGCACAGAGTCTGAGCTTAATACCCTTTTTGCTGAATTAGTTGTTATGAGAAAGCAGCTACCTAGGTCACAAAGTGTGTGGTTGGGGATAATGAGGAGAGGGGTTAAAAATCCCTTTTAATTGTAATCAATGACTGTAGTAATTAAAGCAGGAAAAAAAGTTGCATTGTGATCACTTTAAATCTGCAATTGTCCCTTTATATAAGTAATCTTGATTCTTATAGAAAGCTACTAAAATGCCTCCAAATTAAAATACTTGTTCCTTTATGAAGTAAAAATACATTCATATTTTCATTTGAAATTATGGGTGGGTAGGCTATTCAAATGTCCTGGCTCTTGTCAAAAGAATCTTTAATACCCTAAGCTGTGTGGCAAGCCATGTTCAAATCTTGTAAGATTGAAACCAAATAAGTTCTTTTTAATGACAGATAATTGGAGGAAGAGGGAATCTTATAGAAAAGACAGAAGAGAAGGAATCTTATGAGAGCTTAATGGTCTCTTAAAAGAGCTCTGTCAGACCAAATATTTACAGGTAATAAGCTAAATATGATGCGTGTAACAGACCAGAGCTGGCCAGGTCAGTCTTGTAGCTTAGGTCCAAGATTTTAACAAAGTGAGACACTCAATAGTTTATCCAAGAGTTAACCATAGCAAGAGACAGCCACAGCAAGAGAAAGACATTCGGAGCAAGAGAAGGATATATCAAGGATATAGCCTTAATCCAGAAGAATGTAGGTCTCCAGGGTGAGTGCCGCTTATGCTGCTGGTCTGTAGTTAGAAGCCTAAGAAAGGAGTTTCAACCCCTTGTATCCCAGATGTTTTGTATTCAGTTGACCAGGAGCTATATCAATACCTAATCCCTTTGTCCTCTGAGCCAATTGCCTATCCAGGTCAGTTTCAATCCCCTTTAAGAAAAAACTCTAGGCTAATCTTCAGGGAGCATGGGCTTAGCATACTGACCCCACCACAATGAGACATACAGACCTAAGAAGATAAAGCCCTCTCTCTTCCTTCTTACCTGCGTGACTTTAGGAAAATCACATTAACCTCATCGAGCCTCAGTTTCCTCATCTATTAGGGGCTGAATAAGGTGACCTCCAAGATCTCTTCCAGCCCTAAATCTGATAATGCTAAGGACCTTGTAAATCTTAGTTTTATATAAATGTGAGATATATTTATTAAATGAGGTTACTGACTGAAGTACAGTCTCTGTAGCACACCATGTTTGCTGTTCATGGACCACCTCAAGTAGAGAGAAGTTAGTCACTGAAAGGTTTACCACTAATTGACTGATGAATTCTTTGGAAATGACAATTCCCTGAAGCAAATAAAAACATACAAAAAAAGTGCCCCAAAGTCCTATGTAGCCTTCTTCTGCTATTGCAGTGACAATGACAACAAATGTCTATTCAGTACCTACTATGTTCAAAGTACTGAAGACATAAAAAAAAGTTCTCATGCCCTTGAAGAATTTATATTCTACAAGTCACCTATGCCTTTTTCTGCATCATTGATAAAAAATGTTTAATAGCACAGGTCAAGGATGTAACCCTGAGACACTCTACTAGTGATGTCCTTCCTAGTTCACATACAACTTTTAATGACTACCCTTTATAATTTCAATCCATTGAATTGTACTAATGTCCAGCTCATATGTTCACTTTTCCAAAAGAATAGAATGAGGGACTTTGTCAAATGCTTTGTTAAAATCTGGGTAAGCTATAACATACTCTCATCTACTAATCCAGTAACCCCCATTGAAAAAGAAAATGAAGCTAGTCTAACAAGATCTATTCTTGATAAAGCCACGCTAGCCCTTTGTCCTGCCTTCTCTAGATAGTCACTAACCATCACTCTAACAGTACATTTTAAAAATTTACATTTACACTGTACATATCCTATATGTACATAGTTGGTTACAAGTCGTATGTCCCATTGGGATGTAAGTTTCTTGAGGGCAGGGACCATATTTTTGCCTTTCTTTGTATTACCAAAACCTAGCGCAGTGCCTGGCACCTGGTAAGTATTTAATAAATGCTTGTTCACTAACAGACAATGGAAAAGATCTGTCAGCATTTCTGTAACTGTTCTCTCTAATAATCAAGGAGCTGCCATATTTGGATTCTAACTTCTCAATTTCCAATGTGTTGCAAAAGAAAAAAAGGAACAGCCTTAAAGAGAACAGAAATGGGAAGAAAATCTAGATCAGACCAAACAAGAGGAGAGAAGACCAGATGATTGGGCATTGGCAGGGGAATCAAGTACAACATTATAACTGGAGGGAAAAAGACAACTGAGAAGATTTCAATACCTTTGTTGTTCAGCTGTTTTTCAGTCATGTCTCACTCTTTGTGACCGCATTTAGGGTTTTCTTGGCAGAGATACTAGAATGTTTTGCCATTTCCTTTTCCAGCAGATTTTACAGATGAAGAAGCTAAAGTAAACAGGGTTAAGTGACCTGCCCAGGGTCACACAGCTAATAAGTATCTGAGGTTGGATTTGAACTCACAGAGAGGAGTCTTCCTGACTCTAAGCCCAGTGCTCTATCCATTTCACCACTAAGCTGCTGCTTTCAATAACTATAGTCTGCTTTCTTATCTCTATAAAATCTTTATGAGGATGACCTATTCTACACACACACATACACACACACCTTGGGATCAAATGATTGGCTTCATAAGTATAAGATAAGAAGGGCATGGATAGACAAGATCTCAAACAGTCAGTTAATCAACAAGCATTTATTAAGTGCTTACTATGTACTGGGGATACAAAGAAAGGTAATATTTTGGGAAAGCAGTAGGCTAACAAGTTAAATATGAGATCAGAGGATCAGGATATAACAGCAACCTGAAAAGCTAATACAATTTTAAACTACTGGGGCAGCTAGGTGGCACAGTGGATACAGCACTGGCCCTGAAGTCAGGAGGACCTGAGTTCAAATCTGACCTCAGATACATGACACTTAACTAGCTGTGTGACCCTGGGCAAGTCACTTAACCCCATTGACTAGCCCAAAAACAAACAAACAAAAACAATCTTGAACTATTTCAAGAAGGAAAGTATCCAGCATTTGGAAGTGATAATTCCATTGCTCCACCCTAATCACATTATACTTAGGCTGTTGAGTTTATTTTGGAAGAACATTAATAAGCTGAAGATTAATCTGAGGACCATAATGAAAGTCCTTGAGATCCTGTTCTGTGAGGCTCAGTTGCCTAAATTAGGAACGTTTAGCTTGGAGAAGAGGAGATTCAAGGAAATGTGATTGTTTTTAAGTAGTTGAAGAATTATCATTTAGAAGAGAATGGACTAGTACTGCTTGCTCCTGAGAAAGATCTAGGAGCAGAGGGTGGAAGCAAACGTAGGCTTGATATGTCAACTAGAGCTAGTCAAAAGTGTGAAGAGCTGTGAAGGAGGTCAGTCAGTCTCTCACTAGATGTCTTCATTACAGGTCTCTCTCTCTAGAGGTCTTCCAACAAAGACTGACTGACCATTTATGGTGGGGAAAATTCTTGTTTGGCTACAGTTTAGATGAGAAGGATTCAGGCTTCATTCTGATCCATGAGATTCTATACAAGGAATTATTGGATGAAAACAGAAGGTACCAGGCAGACTTTTGCAAATTATGAGGTAAGCCATATATTTCCAGCAACACAATTGAAATGAAGGTGCTATGAATGCTTGATCCTTCTTTGATCATGTTTGTTGACTATAGAAAAGCATTTGATTCAGTATAGCAAAGGGCTACTTTATAAACTCTACTCCAACAAGGTGTCTCCCATGTATGTATTAAAATCATACAAGATTCCTTAATAAGTATAACAGAGATAACTTCGTTCTGTGATCATTTGCTTACCAAATATGTTTGCTGCCATAATGGAGGATATCCAGTGCAGAGTCCAAATGGAAGAGGAATTTCCTATAAATGATGAGGTCCTCCAGATGCTTCTGTTTGTAAATGAAATTTTGAAGATTATATCAAGTCCGGGAACCTGACAGAGCTCCTAAATGTGATTCAGAATCATTAAAGAGTTCAGACTAACAAACTATACAGGAAAATCCAAGTGAATATAAAATGTCCATTGTCTCGAAAATAAAATGTAGTTGGATATACAGGATATGTGTCCTGATGGACTGTTAAACTGGCTTAACAGTACATTTATCTTGGCGAAGCTTTGCATATAGCCATAAATTTGACCCACAGGACAGAAAATGAACTGGATTACATTTGGGAAATTGTGTAATTCTTTCAGTCACCCAAGTTTTCTTTCTGAAACAAAGAAACAAGAATACCCTTTTTTTGTACTAATATTCATCAACAAGCATTTATTAAGTGCCTGTTATATGGCAGGCACTGTGCTAAGTGCTTGGGGGCACAAATACAAAGAACGAAACAATTTCTACCTGCAGAGCTTATATTCTAATGGAGGAGACAATGCAAATACATAGATGTTGTTGTTCATCCTACATTTTCAAAGAAGACCAATGACATCATCACTGTGATGTCTTGACTTGCAAGTGAACTGGATTTAAGTGAGGGAGAGTTACACAAAGTTATCCACCTCATTCTCTTTCCAGAGTCACTGAAGTCCAGTGGCAGGACAAAATTCAAGATGACTGGTGATGACCCAACATGCAGTGGACTGCCTTGGAACTTTCAATGCCTGACCAGGCTAAGCACTCCACAATGCCTGCTTTAGCTGCCTTTGTGGATGTTGGAACAAATTGTTCTCATCCATCTGTTCTGCCAGGGAAAGTCATCATAGGCTTGGGGTAGAGGGTTCCCTGACTCACCAAAGGGTTTGAAGCTGGTAGGTTACCCTCAATCTGGTATAGCCCATATGCCAAGATGGTTGTACTGGGGTGTGGCCACTGTACATACTACAGCTTCTTGGAGCCACAGGTGAGAATTAGGTGGCAGGTGGACACCAAAGGTGAATTAGCAGTCCTGAAAAGAGCTTGGCAAGACGTCACACCAGAGGTGCTAGTTCTCCTGAACATACAAAATAAATGTAAAGAGGATAAATATGAAATACCTAAACAACATCATTTAGGAAGGAATGAACTAGCAATTAGGGGCATCAGGAAAGGCTTCATGTAGAGGAAACGTTCATTTAGCTGCATCTTGAAGGAAAAGAAAGAGTCTATGAGATAGAGGCAAGAAGTGAGTACATTCTAGACACATGGGATGGCCAGTGAAAAGACCCAGAGACAGAAAACCAAATATTGTGTATGAAGAAGAAGAAGAAAAGACCAGTTTTATTAGATTGCAGAGTGTAGAAAGGGCAGTAGTGAATGAGTCTGGGACCAGACTGTAAAGAGCTTTTAAGGCTAAGAGCAATAGGAATCTATTGAAGGTTGTTGAGTAGGGGAGAAATATGCTTGGATGTGTGCTCATCAGATCGTTTTGGTGGTAACGTATAAGCTGAACTAAAGTGGAGAGAGAGTTGACTGTGAGCTCATTAGATGTTGAGCTTCTTGAAAGCAGGCACTGTCTTTACTTTTCTTTGCACCCCCAGTGCTTTGCACAATGCCTAGCACATATAAGGTGTTTAATAAATGTTTATCAACTGACTGGTAGCTCGTAAGCTAAATTGACAGCTGTTTGAGTCAAGAGAAAGGGTTAATTAGAAGAGATGTTGTAAAAGAAGAAATAGCTAGTTTTGAGAATTTGTTGAATGATTATGTGGGTAGAGGAAAGTGAGGAGTCCAGAATAATGGCAAAGTTAGGAACTTGGGAGAATAGAAGATTAGTTGGTGCCTTTGAAAGAAACAGGGAAGTTTGGAAGAGGGTGGATTGGGGGGGTAGGGTAGAAGATGAGCTCCGTTTTAGATATGTTTTGATTGAAATGCCTCTGGGACATCCAGTTTGAAATGTACAATGGGGAATTGATGATGTAGGCCTGCAGCAAAGCAAGAGACTAGAGCTGGATATAATAGATCTTGGAGTCATCTGCATAATGATGATAATTAAATCCATGGGAGCTGATGAGGTTACTAAGAGAGAAAGAATAGAGAGAGAGAGAGAAGAGAAGAGAAGAGAGCCTAGGGCAGAGCCTTATAGAATGCCTACAGTTAGGGGATATGGCTGATGAAGCAGCAAAGGAGACTGAGAAGGAGGGATCAGACAAGTGGAAAAATCAGGAGAGAGTAGTGTCGTGAAAACCCAGAGAGGAAGAGAGTATCCAAGAGGAGAGTATAGTCATGAGTGTACAGGGCAGCAGATAAGTTGAGAAGGATGAGCACTGAAAAAAAGACTATCAGATTTGGTAATTGTTGTTTGTCCTTCGTTTTCAAAAAGAACCATGATGTTACTGGTGCTGTCTTGACTTGCCTGTGAATTAATTTAAGTGAGGCAGAGTTGCACAAAGTCGTCTGCCTCATTCTTTCTTCCTGAATCATCAAAGTCCATTGGCAGGACAAAAATCAAGATGATCGGTGATGGCCCAGGATGCAGTGGATGACCAAGGTATATTTCATGCCTCACGAAGATCTAAGAGCTCCATAGTGCTTGGCCTTCATGGCCATTGGAATAAATTGTTCTCATCTGCCCATTCCACCAGGGAAATTCTTCACATGCTTGGGGTAGACATCTCCCTAACTCCCTGAGACATCCCCCTAAATCATCTACAGGTTTGTTATTTACAACCTGGTTTAGCCCATCTGCCAAGAAGGTTTGTTGGAGTGTGGCCCTTGCACATGCTATAGCTTCTTGGAGCCACAGGTGAGAGTTGGGTTATAGGTAGATACCAAAGGTGGATGAGCAGCCCAGAAAGGGGCTCAGCAACCCCTCACACCATTGGTGCTAGCCCTCCCTGAACAGGTTCAGTTGAGAAAAGAGATCAGGAGTCAGACTACAAAGAATTGAGGAATGAGCAAGAGGAAAAGGAGAAGTGTAGGTGTAAGGGTAGGTGTAGATGGCTTTATTTTTTTAGAGATTTGGCTGAGACATAGAGAAAAGGTATAGGATGATAGGCTGAAGGGATGATAGGGTCTAGTGAAGGATTTTAAAGTAAATGGGAGACAGGCACGTTGGAAGGCACAAAAAAAGGAACTAGTAGAAAGAGAATGATTAACATTTCAAGAGAGAAGAGGGACAATTGAGACTGCAATTTGCTAGAAAAGACAGGAAGGAACTGGATCAAAGATGAACATAAAGGGGGTGGTCTTGGCAAGATAGACCACTTCATTATCAGAGACAAGAGGAAAGGAGGAGAAAATGAGAGATATTGATCAATAATGTTATTGAATGAGAGAAAATGTTCAATGATGCTATATGGCTAAAATTATGATTTTCCACTCCTTAAAAATTTAAGATTGTGGGAGAACTCAAAGGGCAATGGAAAGATGTATACTGGGTCTAAAGTAGCTGCATCATATTACCAGCAATAATGGATATACACAAAATGACATAAAAGATATCATCCAAAAGATGTAAGACCAGAAAAGGAGGTTGGGTCACTCATGTGTTGAGAGCAGGTAACAGAGGAACAACCCATATGCTTTATTTGATAAACGTATAATGTTCAAAGACCCAGAATAAGGGCCCCAGAAAGCTGAGTGTATCCTCTATAAATGAATGAAAGCATTTATCAACTATTTCCTGTGCGCAATGGCACATTGAAGGATTTATGTGAAGACACAGACAAGGGTAACACAGGAATAGAAACTATGATTGGGTTATATCCATCACCACAGGAAGGAATCCCTCTATTGATATGATCATGGATCCATTGTGGTTTTTAGGCATATATATTATATAAAATATTCTAAAAAGGCACAGTAGAAAGATTATGAACCAATTTGCATGAAAACAACACCTTCCTCATCTACACTGATGTTCTTACCAGTTAAGATTTAAGGAAAAGCAGAATGCCAGGATATCCCATGTAGATTTCTCTTGCATTGGTGAAGTCAAAAGGAGGATTAGGGTTTAGAGGGAAAGATAATGAAGAAAGACAGGATAGTATAAAGTTCCCTTCTGGAGCTCCCTTCACCAATGAAATAACCAGAAACATAGTGAGCTCCATTTGGGATATGCATGATGATGGCCTGCAGGTAGGAAATCCATCCAGGTGGAGATGTATTCCTGTAGGCAGCTAGAAGCAGGCCTGGAGAATATAAGAAAGGTCAGCAATATAGTTACAGATTTGGAAGCCATCTGCATAAGTTGGAAACAGAGGGATGACTGAGATTGCCAAGGGAAAGTCAGGAAGAGAGGTAGAATGAATAAGCATTTATATAACACCTACCATGTGCCCAGCACTGTGCTAAGGACATAACAAGTATCATGTCATTTGATCCTCACAATAACCCTATGAGGTAGAAGTTGTTTTAATCTCCATCTTCCAGTTGAAGAAACTGAGGTAAACAGAGGGATGAATTGCCTGAGGTCACACAGCTAGTAAGTGTCTGAGGCAGAATTTGAATTCAAGTCTGCCTGAGTAGATCTAGTCAGGATGGCTTCATGTTTTTCTCTACCTGTATTCAGTAGAACGTGAGTATGAGCAAAGGCAGCAGATGGTGGGACCTGTCTAAGTCTGAGGTTTGGCAGGGCAAGATTAACAATAGGATAAAGTGTCAAGGCACTCAAGAGAAAAGGACAGCTGAACTGGTTCACAAGGGTGTCA